CAGTGAAGACTGAGGCAAAAAAGTTGTTGAGTACCTCAGCCTTCTCCTCATCTGCTGTTACCAGCCTGCCGGTCTCGCTTATCAGCGGGGGTACACTCTCTTTAACCTTCCTTTTCCGGCTGATATACCTGTAGAATCCCTTTTTATTATTCTTTGCATCCCTAGCCAAGTTAAGCTCCAGCTGCGCCTTCGCCTCCCTGACCCCATTCCTACACAACCGGACCACTTCCCTATACTCTTCCCAGGATGCCTGTCCCTGCTTCCACTGCCTGTGCAGTTCCCTCTTCCTCCTTAGCTTGACCAGCATCTCCTGTCTCAACCACGCTGGTCTCTTCCCTTCTTTGCTTGATTTCTTACACCTAGGGATCGATAGCTCCTGCGCTCTGTGGACCACTTCCTTAAAGATCTGCCAGCTCTGTTCTGCTCCCCTGTCCCTGAGGGCCGTTTCCCAGGGAGTCCTACTGACTATCTCCTTGAGGAGCTGGAAGTTTGCTTTTCTAAAATTCAGGGTCCTGATTTATATTGTGTATGTATATATATCTAAGCGCACATATAAACATGCACATATATACGTATATATAGTCATGTGCGTGTTATAGAAACAGCTGTTAGTTCCTAAGGTGTAAGAGGTACATTTACAGGAAGGTACATCTCATGAAAGCATGCATTAAGACTGGAACATGTGTCAGCCTCCTATCTGCATTTCTTGCATGCTTGCCACTAATTTAAGTGCTGACTACAGGACTGATAGTGTTCCATTTCAAAAATGACTAGTTATTTTGGGTGTACTGTTGAAGAAACCTTTAAAGGCACCTGGCTTTAGAACTGCGTGTGCTAAGTGTTCCCAGAAAACCAGAGTGAGCCTTTCCATCTCTCCCACATTACTCATTCAAAGTCCCTATTTCCAAAGTCCTATTCAGATTTGACAAAGTTAGGCCTGAACATGGGTCATCTAAATTTGTTATCAACAGAGACTTTGTGCATGTTCACTGTAGTTCAGGGTTAAAAAAAGCTTTGCCTTCATAATCTAATACCTTTAAGCACTGTCTGCCTTAACTATGAACTTCCTGCTCTCTTCGTTTCAGCTCTGTTTTCCGGAGAGCTTTTTATTGCTGGTCTATGGTTAGGTTTAAAATATGTAAACAGATGCATTTTAATTTTTTTTTTGTTTTTTTTCTTCACATAAGAGATGTCCATTGATGTCTACCATTACAAAACTGTGGTTTCATCCACTTATGAAGCTTTCTAAATTCAAATAGTAGTAGAATTGACTTTTTATTAGGGCTGAAGAATGGAGAGTGGAATTTTAGAAATTATTTTATCATGCAATTTTGATGGTTACCTTGATTTGAGAAAGATATGGATAGTGCTTACTTTAAGAAGTGCTTTAATTTGCATTTCTGAAGATGTTTTATGTAAACAAGTGCATAAAAAAGATGTGCCTATCCCCTGTAGAGAACTGCCAAACCAGTAAACTTTTCTTTTTTTGAGCTAAAAAGTCATAAGCAAATCAGGCCAAATGTAGGAAAGTCCATCCTGTACATTTTACATGATAAGTTTCAGAAATAAAACTGGTAAATGAGGTGAATTTCACAATGTGAGTGGCCATAAAATATTTACTGTTACGCAAAAGCCATTGTGCTACTGTAATACAGATAGGTTTTGCACCATTCAGAAGTACTTATAAATAGATAGGTTTCAATCGACAAGTAGCTTATTCAGGCATGTGCTCAAATATAGTAGCTGCATTCATTAGACAAACATTTCTACTAATCCCTCAGCTACACTAATAAAAGAGTAATCCTTTATAGGCTGAATGTAGCAGCAGATGGTTCTTTTTTTAACTATTAACATCCTTGAAAGACCAAGGTCTAATCATTAGTAGTGACTGCAGTATTTTTCAGCAAATTAGTTGAAAATTGATAACCCTTGGCAGCATGTAAAGTTAGAATTCCTTACTGAAAATGGAGACACCCTTACTCATAGGAGCAGCTTATAATATATACTGTATTTTAAGTAGATTTGTTTCCGCTCTTTAAAAAAGCAAAAACCCCAGAGAACAAGTCTTGCTGGGCTTTTTTGGTTTGTTTTGTTTTACTATTTTCATAGCATTTGCCCTTTCACTTGCTTCTTTCACACTTTGGATTTCATTGTTAAGGCAAGAAATGTACGTTTGTGGATTCAGGCAGGCTTCACTGAGCAAGGCAAGGGTGCCGGGTAGGGACAAGACAAGTAAGCGAGTCACTGCCCTCCTGTAGATAAAAGACCTATTACAAATTTAATCCACTAACACTGATCTAAACGTAAATTGGGTGTCTGCAAGAACAGGGTGGTTGGGGACCAAAAATCTGGTCATTAACTCTGCTTTCTGTATAGAACTGTTTTTCAAGTTGACCTAAGTATGAAAGTCCATTTTTCTGTTTCCAGTTTACTCTGACCTGAATGTTTTCTCAGAACACACCAAGAACCTTTTAATCACCAGTGATGTCACATATCCCTTCTTGTACTTTTTTTTTTCCCCCTATTTATTTTAAACCTCAGTGACCTGTGAGTCAACTACAACACTTCTTGGCCAAAAATCAGTGTAATGAACCAGGCAAAGAAATAACAGCCAAGAACCATGCAATGGAAAACCGGGATTAACAGCACAAAAATCTTCAAAACTGCAAGTTAGCCTATTAATGACATCACTGCTGAAGTGAAGCAGCTAAATTTTGCAAGTCACATTTAGAAGTTAACCCCTACAATCCAGTTCTTTTCCACTGTCTTCTCTAAATGAGCATCATATTCTTTCCGTGTTAAGTGCAATCATCCATCTCCAAGCCTCTT